TATGTACTGTATGTATAATAATATTTCAATCATTTCATTTATATATTATAAGTCCATTCTTATTAGACAATACTTTATGGGTGTTGTCTTCAACTTAATACACTAGGCACACTCATTTGAATAATAGTACTCTTAGAACAAAGGAAACGAATATGACAACAATGGTGTCTTTTCATCTGTTTAGTTCTTTTGTAAGGCTAACTTCATTCATGTTTTCATATGTACAGTAAATAGGTTATGATGCATTTTGGTAGTTAGTTTCACAATGTTAGCATAGTTAAAAGTAACAGTTTTATTTAAATATCTTACCTCGTCTTCCTCTGTGGTTTAGGCGGTAATGCCAACATTCCAGGTCGTTGTTGGTCCTTATGCACTGATTGTAGTAAAAATTTTCACATATAAATAAATATAACACCATGTATCTTTTGTATCTTGTTTTATTGGTAAACTGTGTAGTAATGAAATGGCTAAATGCTTTAAATGTATATAATTAGGAAATTATGTACATAAAACATATCTGAGATGGTTAAATTCTTTAAATTCATATAATATATAGGCCTAAGGAAGAAATATGCAAATATTTTTGGAGATTTCAAGGCAGCGGCGGGCGTAATAAAAATTTTTAAAAAACTTAAATTTCATCTTTCATGATCTTTTTCAAGAGGAGGAAACCTTGAATTTTGAAGAACTTGAAGGTCATTAAAAACTCCTCAGAAGTCGGGAAAGCTCATTTCCGGCCATCTAGGAATCCAAATTTTCCTGGGGGAAGTCCCCAGGATCCCTTTTAATGTTGGGGTTTTTTTTGAGACATTTTGAACCACCCTCTTTCATATCCTGGATCCGCCCCTGGCTAGGGTGCATTTCCCTTGTATTTCGAAATTGTTTATAAGTACACAATGCTTTTAACCAACACATCGTTAATCAGGGATGCAAGATGATGCTGTGTATAAACAATTGATAAACTTCACATTTACTCTTGAATTGCTAGGTACAAAAACGTAGGTTAACGTTTCGTTATTTTTTACTTTTTGAAAAGCGTACACACACCTTCAACCCCCTCCCCCAGCGTACGTTTTGTACGCTCGTGAAAATGATGAAAATAATGGATGACCCCTAACCGCGAAGGCTCTATCAACTAAATGCCGATCTTAAACTCTTATATAGGGTGATGTATGCAAATTCAGGCCTCAGCGATGGACATCATTGTGATTGGTGGTTTGAAATCACTATGCTGTGGCTAGCGTAGCGGAATCTACATGTTAAATTTCAAAAACCCTTTCACGACGTTCACCGACCCTCTCTTTCTACCAAATATGAGGAGTGGATTTAGAAGGGGGTATGGTAGTTGGTCCTGTCACTGAAAAAACCCTCGAAGCCTCTGCTATCAACAAAAGCCAAATACTGTACATCATGATTTTAAACTCTTATATAGGGTGATGTCTGTAAATCAGGCTTCTGCGATGGACATCATTGTGATTGGTGGTTTGAAACCACTGTGCAGTGTCTAGCGTAGCGGAATCTACATGTTAAATTTCAAAAACACTTTCACGTCGTTCATCCACCCACCACCCTCTTTCTAACATGAGGCGTGGAGGCGGTATGAGTTATGAATATGAAATTAAATTTTCTCTCAATGTGAGGTAATGTATGTCCGTGTACATTGCTAAGTCTTTCCTTACTGTTATTCCAATGTTCACTAACCACGAAGGCTCTACTATCAACACATGTACATGCCGATCTTAAACTCTTATATAGGGTGATGTATGCAAATTAAGGCTTCAGCTAGGGACATCATTGTGATTGGCTAGATAAGCATATGCGCGTCTGTAAAAGCTTAGGAATTGTTCTTTCCGCCAAAATCTATTGCGGACGTAATGTTTCCAAGTCTGCTGTGCAGCAAAGTATATTTCAGCGGACTGATTTTGGCTTATGTGGACTACATTTGGCAAGTAATTATGAGGCCAAAATCAGTCCGCCGGACCGATTTTTGCCCCGGACCAAATTTTTCCTGACAGCCCTATTGCAGGTCCCTTCTCCTCACCACCGTGTCTGACCTTTGTGGTTTCACCTCTTGGCGTCGTGCCCAAATCTGATCCCGGGAAATACCGCATAATCATATCCTCGGGGTGCTTCAGTAAACTCGGGTATACCTCCAAAATTTTCCCATGTGAAGTACACTATCGCCAGTCTTGTTCTTGCCTATGGTCCTGGTTGTCACATGGCAAAAGCAGATATAGAAGATGCCTTCCGCATCGTTCCCTTCATCCTGCCGACCACCTCTTACTGGGTTTCTCTTGGAATTTATTACGACAAGTGCCTACCAATGGGCGCAATTCGTTCTTGTCAGGTTATATATATATATATATATATATATCGAAACGGTACTGTCTGCAGATTGGAATATTTACGCTTCTTTACATTGTGCTGCTAAGGTAGTACATTGTTTTGTAGAGCACTCTTATTTTAAGATGGTGCATTGTTTATGTAATACTATTTTGCAATTTGCATAGCACACTCATTTTGGGTTTGTGCACTCTTGTATTCATAATTAGTGTACCACGTCACACAGGGCTGACCCAAGCCATGTTTGAGTCTGTCGTGTGTTTCATTCTTGAAATCCTGAGCTGCACTGATGAGATCTAACAAGATCGAAACGGTACTGTCTGCAGATTGGAATATTTACGCTCCTTTACATTGTGCTGCTAGCGATTTTTTTTCCGTACGAAACATTTGCATGAAACTTCACTCGGGCCATCTCGGATTGACTCGAGTGAGTACGATACGAGGAACAAGAGCAGACACTTCGCAATGTCGTGACGCTCGAGTTTTACTATTATTGCTCTTTCTATGTTTACCTACGGTAGGCCTATGAAATTTCACGGACTTATGTGATGTACGTCACTGTGTAACTAACTGTGACCTTCTTGGATGCTATTAAATGTTAGTATATTATCTACAACAACAACAGCTAGTACCTCCTGTTATAAAGTGTAGATAGGTACAGTTAACCAAAGGCTAGAGAGAAAGAGGATAAACTATAGGCCTAACTACAGGCTGAGGTCTTACCTAGGCCCCCTTAAACTAGGCCTAGGGTCATAGGCTGACACAACAGTCATGCTTCACATACTGACATGGACTGAAATTTTTGGGGAAAAAAGGGACAAAATTGAAGCATGAAATGAAAAATAGAGCGCATAAGAGAAATGTTAAATAAATAATATACCATTCCGGCGTTATTGAACTTGTCCAAACTATCATTGTGTAATTAATGTTAAATAATAATAATAATAATAATAATAATAATAATAATAATTTCAGCATCATATTACCTTTGGCCTAAGCCTTGTAATGAAGAACCTACAGATACTGTACTATTTACTAGGCCTATAAATAATAATCGCCCAAAGGGAATATCTTTTGTGTTATTTCCCCTTAACGTCGTTTTTTTAATTGTTCTCTAATTGCTCCATTGTCTAAGTTCCCCTTAAGGTACAGGTAATAATAATAATAATTAATAATAATAATAATAATCATTTCAGCATTAATTACCTTGGCCTAAGGTAATTGTAATGAAGAACCTACAGATACTATTTACTAGGCCTATAATAACTAGCCCAAGGGGAATATCTTTTATGT